TTCTAAAAAAAATGATTGTTTTTTCTCCTGAATTAACAATTGATTTTTACAAATATAATCAAATTTTATAATACACTCAATTGAGTAAATCTTTTTAACAACTTTGTTTTGATTGGTACATTTAGTTAAAGTAAATCATTAAAATTAATTAAGTTCTCAATATTTCAATTATAGAATCTTTTCAACAAACAACAAAAGTTCCTAGGAAATTATTACTATTACTTCTATTTAAGTTATCTATTACCATAAAAATGCAAAAAAATATTGAGCTTTTCTGATAAATTTACAATAAATAGTAATTATAAAACTTTCTGACTACATATTGATCTTAACGATACAATTTTTTTAATTGTCATAAAATTTTCTATTTAATTATGTCAATGTCAAACTTACCAATTGAGCTAAAAGTTATGGTAAAATAAATTTTTTTTTTTATTATAAACATTTACAACAATCAACTTTAAGCGATTTGAGAAGATTTGCATCGAAGCGTTTCTTATGATAGTGATTTTAATCACTGTCAGATATCATCTATACTTGTCCCATCTATGCCTCGTCCACACTGTGCCTCGACCCCACTGTGCTACCGTTTTTTTAAATTAGTTAAGTTAAAAAAAAAATTTAACTTATCTTGTTAAATTTATAATTTGTTAACTTTTAACTGCTAATTTATCGACATTGATCATACTTAACTTAACTTGAGTTAATTATTTCCATTACCTTGCCCATCTTTGCATATTTCTATTAACTTATAAGTTAAATAATACAAAAAAATATTAGGTAATTATGAAATTATTTTTTTTTTAAGAGGGAATAATATATAATATTCGGAAAAATAAAAAGGAATAAAACAAAAAATATTCAATTTTAATAATAATTTATAAAGAAAAAATATAACATATAATTACTATATAGATATTATGTATCTCTGAAATATTATAAATTCTTACAATATTAAATCTTTAAATATTTAAAGTAAACACTATGGGTACTTAAAACAAATAATTAAACCTACTATAATATTATATATTAATTTGGAAATTTGAATCAAAATAATTATAACAATACAAAATTATAATTGCAATATTAAAAGGGGTGTATTATTTTGGACAAAATAAGTGGAGGGAGAAGAGTATCAGCGCTTCACTTGCGAAGTATCTCCAATAACTAAACACTTATATTAATTTTATATAAAAAAAAAACTTTTTTAATGAATGGCTTTGGAAGTTTTATTTTTTTTATATCTAATTTTAACATATATAAAATATATGTCTTTAATATCTTTGCTAGTCTGTAGGCTTTGTTTTATCTGTTAAAAAACAACTCACTTCACAGTCAAGTTATTGCATATAAAAAATCATCAAAACGTTTAATTAAAAATCCAGTGATAACTGATAACACAAGATTGGACTATCTATGATATATTTCAAAATATATTTTTCTTATCAAATACAAATTTTTATTATGTTTCATAGATACATTTAAATGAACCGTTATGGCTCAGTTAAATATGAGTATAGTCCTGATTTCTACTGTAAATTTAGACTGGGATAAAATTTTTTCTAGTTTTCATTGCATAAGTAAATATGTTTGTTTGGAAGTTTGGGTAAAGACAGCATTATACAGGGTGTTCAGTGTTTTAAATGTTTGTCTCCCTAATTTCTTTACATTGTTTATTTAATTAAAAGATAATTTAGGGGACTTATTCATATTTAAGATAAATGGGGATAGATAGCGAATTGAGTATTTCTCAAAATCAAACGTATACAAGGTGTGTAAAGAAAGTAATGAGATTGACTTTTTATAATTTTTTTATTGAATTGAAATGCCTATTTAACATTATCTAATACAAAGTAATTGCTTAGGGAATCTACACAGCGCTGGATGTTTCCATTGTTCGTAGCAATTTTGTATCTCAGTTATTGGAATAGCTTTCAGTTGGTCAAGTCACGGATATTATATCCTACATATTCTCTATTATATTAATGTACCTTTTTGGGACTCATTTTCTCATTAATGCCCGCTTTAAAACCTCTCTGGGTACTCTATCATACGCTTTCTCCAAATCTATAAATACCATACACAGTTTTTTCTTCTTTTCGCTCTACTTTTCTATTAGCTGTCTCACACAAAAATCTAGCTCAAAAAAACTGACTAGATATTAAAGTAAATAGTACTCTTTATATTTCTCTTGGAAATTTTAATTTTATCCCCAGAAGTCAAGAAAAATCGTAGAACCATAACCTCGTCATCTTATCCCGCATTACCTTTAGCAGACTTCACCGTTTACATCAATTTTTATGATAATTCTCATAATTTCATAATCATAAATCAATTGATAAGCGTTTTCCTAAATTATGGTAATGTAAAACAAGTCGATCTTCACAGTTTTAATCGTACACTCCTTAATTTTATTCTTAAAATTAATTAACAATATCAATAATAGCACATCTACATGGTATTGTATGTATTTTAAATGTAGATAACAACTGTTAAAGTTTTAAAATTCTAAATAAAATTTAGAATTTCCAATCGGCCAAAAGTTAAAAAAAATTGTGAATTATTTTTACTATTTTTTATAACTTATTCTTTATTCTTTTTTTTCTATTTGACCAACGTTTATATAAAATAAGAAGTACCTAGGAAATTTTTACAAAAAATAAATTACATAAGTTTTAGTGTAGTACATATTTAATAAATTCAGGTTTTTCAGAACATGTTAAAAAATATTATTCTTTAACACCTGTTAAGTGTGATAAGACAAGTAGTATGACTTGGATGAAAAATTCAATGAGCTCCTTTAATTAATAAATCAACCTAAATTATTATAGATGTACTATACTAATAGTATTATGTAGCTTTACTTATTATATTTTATAACGTAACCATGATTTAATTTTGGGTAATGTTCCTATTAAATTTATTTATTTAAAACACGAACTATACATTACTTTAAATTATTACATAATACAAAAATCATAAAATCATAACAAGCTATCACGAATGCACATTACCTACATTTTACATGTAAACATCGACTACCTCAAAATTAAAAATATTCTATCTAATTTCTATTACAGATGTTAATCTGTATTTTGTAACAATTTTACGAAGACTTTATTGTTAAAATCGATACAAGTACTCTGATATCCAAAATATTATTATTTTTTTAATCCATAGTCACAAGTAGTGTTTTAATTTTTCCCATATTAGTTTTATAGAACAACAAAATATTTTCAATCCGCTCGACATAACGTACGCTATCATATTTCAATATTTTTATCAATAAACTAGGAAACATTCAAAAAAGATGACAGAGAGTTATATTTCCATTGAATATGTTCTATACATAATGCGTTAAAACAATTTTTTTTATCAATCTTTTACAATAAATGAAATAAATAATAAATTTATTTGCACAACATTTTACTTAAATACATATTACATTGTTGTTATTATGAAATTTATGCAATAAAATAGTTTTTTAAAGAATTTTGTTGAATACCTTTACCTAATTAGCCCCTTGATTAATTTAAATGAATAGTCAATTGCTTTGTTTGCATGACAAGTTATATTAATTTTTAATAAAATAAGAATCAATTATTTCACTGCAATTTTTATAATAAAATATTTCTACTATATCATTACAAATAGAAATGGAAATAGAAAATGTAACAAGTACACTATAACTCATCAAAAATTAAAAATAATTCTTTTAAAGAATAAATATGTTGTAAGTACGAAAAGTATATGAAAATATAAATAATATTTTTCAATAGGTTTAATTTCAATACAAACACATTATGTTTTCACATCCTATTGTGATAAAATAATTTTAAAAAATAGACTAGTACTAATATAATATACCACGTTAACATGTAATTCTAGCGACCTAGTTTTATTTTGATAACTTCATATAATTTTTCATAAAAAAATTAGTGATATACAAAAGAGAATGATTTTACTCATTCAATAAATAAAAAATTATTGCAAAATTAACATGGATTGCCAATTGAGTAAAAAAATCTAATGTATGATTGTAATGAATGTTTATTATTAAAATCTGGTTTATGTTAAACTGAATAACCACTCGCTTAAAAATACAACATATACTAACGCTTTTGTTACATATGAATTGACAAGTGTTAATAATCTCGTTAACAAACAACATTATAAAAACATAAAATGTATGATAGCTAAAATATTTTTTTTCTAATAACCTTTGAACTAATTTTTTTTTAAATAATTTATATAGGTAAATAATTTTTAAACCTTATAAAAAATGTATGAAACATTTTTATGGTTTCACCTGAACTTGTAAGATAAAAAATTGAATGAATATTTCTTAAGTTGGTATATTTCTATTTATTATTTTCTTGTAAATGCGATAATAATTTAGCTCTAAAACATTAAAAAATGGCTAATAATGTTATATGAATATTTACTTCGATATCAGAAATAACTAAATTAATACAAACGTACAATTAATTCATAACTAATTGTACTATAATATTTACTAAATTTAAAATAAGTTATTATACATAATGTTCTATGTTATTATATTAAATTATTTCGTTTAATATAAGAGTCTATTATGTAAGTAGTATTTTGTATAAAATAACTTACAGACAAAATAAGTTTACTTACAATCGTTGTTTTAATTAATGCATTTCATAAATGTTTACTTGGTCATGATTACGTTTTAAAAATAAATACAATAATAATTTATCACTTATAAATATCTAAAATTGAATTTTGAAATAACTCACAGAAGGTAAAAAGGATTTTTGTAGAGAATCGTGTAACATAAGGCCTTATCGGATTACTATTCCGTCTAGACTCAGAATTTCATTGACAACTCATGTTCACAATTACTATTTTATCAATTCCAAGTGTTATTAGCGCTAATGTCTGCACAAATTCACAATAATACATATAATTATTTTTCCTTGTTATTAATCTCATTCGCATTAATATATTAGTAAACACAAAATGTATCTCAAATTATGTAAACATTTTAAAAAGAAAATCATGGAGGACTGATGGAATATATCTTGTTATTATTGCTTAGGGTATTACTACTTTATCTAAATTCTTTAAGGGTATTTTGAATGAAAATAATATTATATTTTATTAATATTAACATTACTTTTCATTATGATGGTTTACCCATTTCCAAATCGAGTTCCAGTCAATTTTGGCCAATCCTTGGTTCAGTAATACTAAATAAAGATGTATTTATCTAGAATTTATAACTTTTACACAATCAAAATTCCTTTTTTTTGCTGTATCTCAAGTGTCTCCCAGTGGAATACAAGCACCTGGTTTGTTTAGGTGTAGTAAAGAAATTATATACGTTGTGGTTTGCGGGTCCTTTAATAGTTCGTATACGAAAAAGAATTGTACAGCAAATATCAGATATATTGGTAAATCAATTTAGCATAAATGTGTCATCTGAATTTCAACTATTTTGACTATTTTTTAATAAATGAAATAGATTTAAAAGTTTTCTTATTATAAATAATATTTACACAATCTTACGCATCATAAATAATTTTCTTGAATTTTATGTCTTGATGTATAAATATTTTTAAAGAAAAAATTTTAATTTAGTCCTTTTCAAGTTTTTAGTTTTTACCTTAGCTGAATTGTGTAATTTAATGTGTATTATTAACAAATTAAAATAAAATTGTCTTGATTTTTAAGATGTATAATTTAAAGATATATATAAAATATTTCCTAGGAATCCTCAAAGGGAATCTTAAGTAGAATGAAAATGAAAGTATAGAAGAACTCCTTAAACTATCCATAAGAGGAATCCTATCAACAATTTAAATGGGATTTGTAAGAATTCTTTCTTGTGTTCATAAGATGGGAATACCGTACTTTTAACACGTATAGAAATCTAAAGGGCTTGATGCAATACTTTTCAATAAAAAAAGAAAAATGACATATTTAACCTATTTTTTTAATCCTTTAAAGTTGATTTTTGTAAAAGTTTATAGTAAAAAAAATTAATTTATTACCATAACTTTTAGCTAAATTTGCAAGTTTGAAATTACACATCATTAAATAAGAAATTTTATAATAACTATTTATAGTAAACTTATCAGAAAAGCTCGATTTTTTTTTTGCATTTTTATCGTAATAGATAACTTAAATAGAAGTAATAGTAATCATTTCCTAATATCTTTTGGTGTTTAAAAAGATTCTACAATTGAAATATGAACTGAATTAATTTTAATAATTTACTTTAACTAATATAACTAATCAAAAAAAAGTTGTTAAAAAGATCTAAAAATCCATTGTTAATTCAGTAGAAACTAACAATCATTTTTTTAAGAAATGATTTATATAGCAACATGTTACCAAAATATTTGGAATATTATAGTCTAATTGTAGCACACACAAATAGAGTAAAAAAATTATTAAATTACGAAGCAAAATGATTTAATTTTGAAATTGAAACTTATCATATTGAACTTGATTCGTCAATAAATACTTTGAAAACATAAACGAATGATTTTATTTATTTGTATGGACAACATGGAGAACGTGGGATAAGTAACTATTTAATTGATAAATTAAAATTTTGTTTCAATTTTTGAAGGTAATATTTTCAACTAGACACAAATTATAATCATTTGACGTATCGTTGAAAAAAGTAGGTCAAGTTAGAGCAGAGAAAATAAATGATAGTCACAAAAAAAATACCCTCTCAGCTTTGTATCAAATCTATAACCTAAAATATAGTAAAATAATTTTAATATGAATAAGAAATTTCTTCTTGAAATTTGATCAAAATCAAATGAGTGGAAAATTTATTCTAACTTAAAAAGAATTGAAAAAAATTCTTTGCCATAAATGGGTTGAAACCTTGTACCCCAAGCGCGTAAGGCACAAATTTTATTGACTTAGCAACCGTATGTGCATTTCCGTCGCGACGCGTCAATTGAAAAAAATGACAATTTAAGCTAATTCGAATTTCAATGTTATTTTTCTCTTCTTAAAAAAAGCAAAAAAAATTTAAAAAGTTTAACTTTCTATGCTATATCAATTTGATTTATATAATATTTATGAAAATCAGTGTACTCCCCTTGTCAGGTATTTTAAAATAAAATAAAATACAAAATCCAGAATTTTAACACAAAAATACCATATTTTTAAATACGGTAGTGGTTTTCACCACGAAGACAAATCCAGAGATCAAATTTTGTTCTAAAAAGTAATATTTTCATATTACATAAGCTTTAATTTAAGGTATATGTAAAAGTGTCAGTATTTCCGGAACACATTCCAAAATCAAAATGAAAATGTTCTAGTTTCAATACACATGTTTAAAGTTTTGACCCTCTTTGTATAAAGGAATATAATCCTATTTAAAAAAACCCAGCACAGTGGGGTCGCGGCATAGTGGGGATGTTGCATAGTTGGGTCCAGTATAGATTTAATCTGACAGTGATTAAAATCACTATCATAAGAAACGCTTCGATGCAAATCAGTAGATAGTGTTTAATTCTAAGAAATTG